TTTAAAAAATATGGATGCAGTAATTTCTTGAGATCTCTTTTTCCTAAATTAGAAGGGTTAAAATTTCTAAGCCCTCATGTTGAAAATGACTGTATAATCTCATTTTGTCACCACTTAGCTAAATATTGAATTCTGAATTGCAGTTTTTTTCTTCAAATTTGGGCACTGAACCATTGTCTTCCTCGTGAAGCATTGTGGGCAAATCTGACAGCAGTCTGATCTTTTTCTTTGGAGGTAATATACTTACCAGTTGTTTGATAATGGCTCTTAGATTAGCTCTGTTCCCCTGCCAGAATTCTTATATCTATGTTACATTTCCTGGATCTCTCTCCATTTCTTTTTTCTTCTTCATCATTGCTAATTCTTTTATTCCCTTCTTCCTGAGTTCTGAGAAAATACCATGAGCTCATCTTAGAAACTTCCATTTTCTGAAGTACCTACTCTAATGTACATTGCATTTTATTTGTTTTCTTTTATGGGCAGAGGCTTGCATGTTAACAGGAAATCATGAGAGGAGGTCATGCATTTTATAGCATTTACCTTGGGGTTGGGTGTTGAGGTGGCTTTTCAAAGCCATGTCTGGAGGGCAGAGTGACAAGCAGGGATAAAGGCATCTCTTCCAGTCTCTTGCCTGAGTTTCACATGCTGATGAGCACTGTTCTAGATTACTTGGGGCAGGGGTGTGTGTGGATTTCTTTTGTTCTTAAATTGTATTTAAACCACGCATATTGCCTGTGTCCACATACTGTGTACACAACTCATGTATACAAGTGTAGACAACTGTGTATGGTATATGTACAATAAAGTATTTCCTAGTTTGGTATACTGAAAAGGCTAAGAAACAAAGATATCCCAATAGCTGGGAGCCATAATGTGCTCAGACCTTAGTTTCTTTCTTTTCTCTTTAAAGATTTATTTATTTTATGCATACAGAACTGGAGTACAGGCCAGAGGTGCAGGGGCAGTAAGATGATACACCAAAGACAGAGTAGGGAGCAGAACAAGCAGACTGCTGAAGTACCCACTGAGGGGAGCAGCAGACAGGACAGGAGAAGTCTGCTGTACCATGTGGGTCATCTCTCCAGGGTCCAGAGGATCAAACTGAAGCATCTGCAGCAGCAGCTAGCTTCATGGCCCTGCGCTCCAACCCGTTACACCACCAAGGAGGGCCCCAGGTCTTAGTTTCTGATGTCATCCCCAAAAGAACCAGAGTTCCTCAGAGAATGGGTCCCCTGGCTGTGACAGCATAGGTACAAGATGAACCTGGAATTATCTTGTTATGCCAAAAAGTAATAATGTATTAAATTCTTTTAAGAAGTGACATGAGCATGTCCTAAGGACACTGAATGGACACCAACTGGTCAAGTCTGGACAACTTGAACACTAGAGTAACTATTGCATAAATAGGAATGTATTCTCCTTACTAACAATAATAACAATCAATGAGGGAGAAAGGAGGATCTGTGCTTACAGTGGATGCCAAGAAACAGCTGGTAAATGTGAAGGGAGGCTAGTGAGGAAAGTCATCATTTTACAATCCTCCTTGTAAATATTGAATCAGGTAAGGTTCATGGCTGAATGCCAAATCTGAGGGCCAGTTTGATAAGGAACAGAGTATCTGCACTGAATTAAAGCATCTCCCCCAAAGGCTAATTTTTTTTTATGCAAAGGAGAAAAAAATGCACACAGTAGTTATCTAGTGGAGACAGCAAACAATTTTGACAGGTTGATCAAAATGGACATCACCAGTGAGGGTCAGGTGCACATCATGTGCCTTTAGACGTGGTGCCTGAGGACAAGACTTTGCACATAGCCCAGCTGAGTATAACCTCTATCATTAAAAGAATCATAGAAACACAACATGAGGAATCGATGTCAACAAGGGAGAATGGGAAGTGTGTTTCCAAAATGTCTGTGTTGCACAAGGCAAGAAAAGGCTGTGGAGAATGTTCCCATATTAAAGGAAGTCAAAGACACCTGACACGTAAATGTGGCTCTTGACCTAAGACTGAATGCTGGGCTTGAGGGGGGGGGAAGACTATACAGGGCATTCCTAGGTCAACCAGTATGAAACCAGATTTGCTAAAATGTTACATCAATGTCATACATGGAGTTGATAATTGTGCTATAGGTATAGAAGAGACTATCCCTATTCTTAGGAAATACACACTTGAGTATTGTGGGTTAAGGCCATGCTCTATGTAATGAATTACTGTTTGATTGTATACCCCTGTGCCACACTGAACGTGTAAATGCAAATGACAGAGAAGATGTGTTATCATGTCAGTAAAAGTTGAATCTAAACAAGAGGTATGCAGGCATTCTTTTCACTGTTTTCTAACTTCAAAAAATTAGCAGTCATTTCCAAATATGTTTTAAAACATAATGGAATTTACTAAGTAAATCCACAGCTGATGTCCTCTGGGGGTGGGGGAGGCATTAGCTGGAGTCCCCCAGTCTGTCTGATCTTTTCATGAGCCCGGAAATAGCACATCTGTTTCTTCTTGCAGAGGAAGTTCTTTCCTTGCCCAATATTTGATGTTGAGATAACAGTTATCAAAGTTTCTATGGGTCTTTAGCCAGGTCTTCTGACTTCAGACAAAACCAAATTGAGAGAGTTTAGATTTACTGTCTTTATTAATTTACTTTTGGTGGTGTCAGATCAGAGCTCTGATGGCGGAGTGATTCCCAAGCCTTTTAATATTCTGAATTATCTGATATGTGGATTGTTCACACACATAAACTCAGCAGTCGGGTGCAACCTGTTTTCTCACTCCAGCAAATGTGCTAAATTCAAGGGAGTAAGATGACATTTTGCTGTACTATCCTTGAATAGTACTATAATGATTATGCATTGCAAATTACATTTGAGACATGTGTCACAACTGAATATAAATTATTCAGAACTGGCCAGTAGCTTGTGAAATGGAGGAAGGGAATAATGGCCAGAGGCAAACACAGCAAGGAGTGTCCAAGGCACCACTTAGACCTGATAGTGTTCTCTGGCTCCTGTTTCTTTTTCATATGCATCTCATTGAACTCCCTTACTCATTCGACATGTATTTGTTGAGTTCCTGCTGTGCACTAGGGTTGAGGTTTATCAATGAACAAATGACAAAAGCTGCACCCTCATGGGCCCAACATTCCAGCTGGTGGGGAAGACAGTGGAGGAATCAACACTCTAAGAAGGGTGGATGAAAGTTTCTCATGGGATGGTCTGCATAGGGCTCATTCAGAAGGAGATGTTGGAGCAAGGACTTGCATCTGGTGAAGGAGGGAGCCACATGCTTCCCTAAAGCAGTAGTGCTCTAGAAAGAAAGATCTGCTTGTCAAAGGCTCTGAGCAGGAAGGGAGCCTGCCTGGTGTACCTGAGAAGCACTCAGATGTGGTGTGACTGGAAAGAGAAGGCAAGATGGAGACTAACAGAAGAGGAATGCTTCCTTTTCACTGCTGTCACATTTTCTAGATATTTTTCCCTTAGAGTAACTGTCTCCACCTCCATGGCTGTTCAAAACAATTTTAGATACTACCTCTCTTCCCAGAACTTTCCAGACCCTTCCTTATGTCCCTAATGGCTCTTGTCTGACCATCCCTGTTTTCCCTATGCCACCCCCGTGCCACCCCTGCGCATAGCCCAGGCCTCAGCCAGCCCTGTCCCTAGGGAGCCCGAGCCCCATAACCATGCCGGCCTGTGGCACCCGGCCTATCGTGCAGCAGCAGCGCATCTGGCACCTCTACCGACTTATCTCCGAAAACATGAGCGAGTGGAAGTGCATGGCCTTCGCCAAGGTGCAGACACCCTCCCTTGGAGCTCCTGCCTGGGATTCTGGAGGGGTGGGGGCGGGGAAGGGTCCAGCTGACTGTGACTCCCTCTCCCCACAGTTCAGCCTGGCGATGGCCAAGGAGAAGACCGATGGCTGGTTGACAGAGGCAGCACGGATGAGTGCCAACCTGGGTGTGCCCAGCCCAGTGCTGCAACGCTGCATGCGGATGCTGGAGGAATTCCGCAGCTATCTGCCTTTGCTTAACAAGTTGGACAGCCTCTCCCTGCAGAACATCAGCTACCATGCTCTCCTGCGAGGTGTGTTTGGGTCGGGGAGGACACATGGGTGAGGACACTGCCACCATTCAGTCTGCTGCTGCTCCTGTTGGAAACACCTTCTTCCTGAGGTGGCTCTCTGTCTTTCCCCACACAACAAACATTTCTACCCTCCCTCACTACCAGACCTAGGCTGGACTCAGGTTGGTGTCTTAAATTTGGGCTGAGTTACACTTTGAACCTTAAGTTCTGAGTTCTTTGCTCTACATTGGGCTTTGAGATGTGATGTCTGGGATGGGGAGTTGGGTTGAGCTGGGCTGGGCTGGGCTTTGTGTCAAGGACCTTGGCTCTGTGATATGGGCTGGACTTTGCCAAATACTGAGCGTTGCTCTGACTTGTCCCCTCTGTTTCCAGCCTTAGGACTGGACAGTCTCCAGAACATAGAACTTCTAACACTGGGCCAGCTGCTCTCGTGTCCACTACTGGAGTTTGCAGACCGAATCAATCAGGTGGGGCACATAGTGGGAAGGGGGGTGGCACACTTCCTGGACATGATGGCTAAGGTCTCATAGAGCCAATTGAGGTCCAGCAGCCAGAGCTACTGGCAAGTGGAAGATTGGAGGGGTTTAAAATATCCTGACCTGCCTGAAAGCCAAGAATGATCCTCCTAAGGCTCCAGATAGGTGTCTGATGGGTGGTTCCCAGTTCTGTGACTGAATGTCTCCAAGGCAAAGCAAGCGGGACGCAGCTTGCAGTTGTAAGAAAACAGGATGGTGGATGGGATGTCCCAAAGCAGCAAAGCTGAATAAGGTGTTATCTGCTCAAGGGAGTCTGGACATCGGGTGCCCAGGCAGAGTATGTTGCTGAGGGTCTGTCTTGAACCCTGAGGGCTGCTCTTCCTCTATCTCTGAGCCCTCTACCTCTTTGGGTCCTGGCCCTGAATGCCAGCTCCAAGGCTGTCCCCTGGGCCACAACCTGGTTCTGGTTCCTGAGACCCTGCTCTTCCAGGTCTGGCAGGGTGAAAGGGACCGAATTAAAACCCAAGAGACCCTCCGGCGGCTGCAGCGAGCCTGGGAAACACGCCAGCTGCGACTGCTCAACTTCATCCTGCATGTGCCCTACGAGCCCCCAGCCGGGGAGCGTGCCAAGAAGCAACTGCTCCGCATCCCCCATTGGGAGCTAGTGGAGAAGGATAGTGGCACCTTCATCCTTTCAGGTGAGACCCAGCCCTGCGACTGGGCTGGCCCATGCGAGTCCCAAGAGCAGGGGGTGGAGGGAAGTGGGGAGGGGAGGGGAGAGCCTATTCCAGCTTGTCCACCAAGCCCTGTCCAATCTGGTTTCCCTAGCCGGGGCCCCATCCTTGCTGGACAGCCTGAGACATCAGTTTGTCCTGAGATAAGGTCTTCCATCTACCTCCTATATGCTCTTAATCTTGGGGGCCCCTCCCTCCACCTCCTAACCAAGCCTGGCCTCTTCTGCAGAAGTCCTTCCCTGCTGAGTGTACTAAGACATTCTTCCTGCCACATTGCTCCACTTTTCAGTGTTCTGTCTCTCCACTGTGTCCTCTGCCTTATCTACTCTTTTTCATCCCGTTGTCAAACTCACCTGCCTCCTTTGGGCCCAACACAAGAGCCGAGATTTGTACACAAAAGCCTTGTCCCTCAACTCCCAGCTCCATGAGATGAGTCAGTAGAATAAGGACAAGCGTGCGGTGGCCCACCTAGCGGGGGCCGTGCAATCGCAGAAGGAGGACCAGCTTCAAAGGGTCGGGAGTCAGATCAGGCTAGTTTCTCAGAGGTAGGAGTTTGCTAGACTTGCGAGGAGAGAAAGCATTCTAAGCAAAGGGAAGAGCACATGACAGACACCCAAAGTGGTGTAATTAGGGAAAGGCTCCCTAGAGAAATTCTCGTACCCTATACAGTTGAACCCAAGCATACATTCAAAAGTTAAGAGGGCCAGCATAACATGATGCATACATTGGCTAAAGATTTTTATTTTAGCTTAGAGTGCATAAATGTACCTTTATTTACTAAACTTTCTTTTAAGATTTATTTTATTTATTTATGCATGTAAGAGTTGGGGTGTAGGTCAGAGATGCAGGGTGAGGGGGAGAGGATTCACCAGAGACAGAGTGGGGAGCAGAACTGGAGGATCAACTGAAATACACTGCTGAGGGGAGCAGCAAGTAAGACAGGAGAGGTCTGCTGTGCCATGTGGGCCACCGCTCTGGCCGGGCAGTGATTGAACTCGTGTTGCAGATAGCTTCATAGTACTGAGACTTAACCCCTTTCACCACCAGGGAGGCCCCTGTTTACTAAACTTTTAACCTAAGTACAGAGCTTTGATTTACAGCCAGCTGATAGAATTTCCTCACAGTCTTGCATTATCTCCTAGTTTTGCTTTGAGTTTCCGTAAAGTTGAGCAGTGACATGAAGACACTTGTGAAGTTGCCTGAGTCCAGAACTTTTCAAGATTTGTAATATCATTTTCCAAGTCTTAAAAATTGACTTGCCTAGACCTAATATATCATGCTTTTATGAACTCATCTTTACTGAAACCTTTCATAGTTTCTATAGAACCACTAAGTCATATTAGTGATTAACACACTATCAGCCGATGCTGTCATTAACATGATCATTCACATAAACAGTTCTCAAATACAGACCGAATGCATGATGAACATGCATTCAACCAGTAGAAGAATAATGGGCTTGTGTCTTTCTAGAGAGTAACACTTGACCTGTGAGTTCAATGTGTTTGGAGTATTAGTCACCCCTGCCCCTAATCTCACAGCTCTGCTGTGCTCAGCCAAGCCAACTTAACTCTTCCTCAGATTGCAGCAGCCTTCAGGCTTCTATCCAAGAAAGCCTTCAGGTGCTATACAAGATCCTGGCCACCCAAAAGTCTGGAGACTCTTACAAGATGGCTCTGGAGTGGGTGACCATCATGCACAGTCTGGGTGAGTGCAAGCCTCTAGCCGGCACCTGCAGGGGGTGGCTCACAGGAGTAGGGAAGGGGAGTGCCGAAGCACAGCGTGAGGACCTCCTTCAGGTCAACTTCTTGTGCTGAGGTGGCCAGGTCTCTATCCACAGAGAAGTTCTTCTCCTAGCAAGGGTCCTGCTGAGCGGAGTATTTTGTCTGGGTTAATGGGGCACCCCAGGAAGTCAGGTACAAACTGGACCCTTTGCAGAAGCAAAACCCTGTGCTTCCCTCCCATGTCCCCCCTGGATTTCCCCCCCCCCCACGCCGGTTGTTCACACAGGTGCCCTGCTGGAAGTGTGGGTGACGTTCCAGCAGAAGTGGATTTTCCTGAATAAAGTCCTACATGAGATGAAGATCCAGTTTCCTAGTGTTGAACTGGTACGGGGGTTTGGGGGCACAGTGAGTCCCGGTGGACAAGGTCTCCTGAGTAGCAGGCCTCAGGGCGGGAGTGGGAATGGCCACTTTGCATCTGCCCTCACTTTTACCATCTCCCTCGCCACAGACTGATCGGTTCAAAGCCTTGGATGATAACTTTCGGACCCTGATGCGGATCTCTGTAGCTGACCCTCAGGTTCTGTCACTTATAGTGCCCAGTGCCAAGCGGAACCCTTTCTTCCAAGGCCAGCAGCTGCAGCAACAGCTGCAGGCAGGCTCAATGGAGCTAGAGGGTATCATCACGGCCCTGGAGAGTGTGCTGTATGAGGTGTGTGCCCACTTTCCCCGCCTCTTCTTCCTCAGCAATAGTGAGCTGGTGGCCCTGCTGGCTGCCTCACTGGAGTCATCTGAGGCCCAGCTGTGGGTCCGACGCTGCTTTCCTCACGTGCACGCCGTGAGCTTCAAGTCCCTCTCAAGTGATAAGAAAGACGAGGGTGAGCAGGAGCCGAGGCCGAGCACGCAGACTCAGGTGGAGGCCCTTGCGGTGGTAGGGGCAGGTGGGGAGGAGGTGAAGCTGCAGGAGTCCCTCCCTCTGCATCCAGATCTCCCCAAATGGCTGGCCTCTCTTGAGAAGGGTCTGCGTTTGACCCTGGTGCACATGCTGCAGGACTGTGTGGCTGCCCGTGTTTCTCTGGGCCCGTGCCTGGATGAGGCCTTCAGGCAGCTGCCCCAGCAAAGCCAGTTGCCTCTGCAAGAGAGTGTCCGCCACTGGCTGGATTTGGTTCAGGCCTTCCCGTGGCAGTGTGTGCTGGTGGCAGAGGAGGTGATCTGGTGGGCTGAGATGGAGGAAGCTCTGCTCGAGGGAAGGATGCTGGCCATGGTCCAGAGGCATGTGCGCAAGCTGGAGGTACTGGCATATTTTGCACGGGCCCAGAGGGCCTCCCAGAGTAGGTGGTCCCTGCCCAATGTCCGCCAGAACAGCCTGTTCAGTGCTCTGCTGGTTATGGCGGTGACTCACCGGGATGTGTCACAGCTGCTGCAGCAGCACCAGGTCTGTGGTCTGACAGACTTCCACTGGGCCCGTCAACTCAAGTACCACCTGGGGTCACCACACACCAGCCCGCAGAGCCCCCTACAGAGTCTCAAGAACATCCTATCCACTGAGGCCGCTCCGTCTCCAGCTGCATGCTGGGTGAATGTGCTGGGCCGGTCCTTCCCGTACAATTATGAATACCTGGGTCCCAAGCTGGAGTCTGTGCCCAGCCTGCTGCCTGAACGCCCAGCCCTAGTGTTGTTACTGGCCCTAGAAGAGGTAGCCTGTGGGGCCCTGTTGGGCCCAGATGGTGTGGGCAAGACAGCTACAGTGAAGCGCCTGGCACAGGCCTTAGGTCGCCAGCTGGTGGTGATGGCCTGCTTGCCTCATGTAGAGGCCCAAAGCCTGAGCAAGTACCTGAACGGTGCCTTGCAAGGTGGTGCCTGGCTGCTCTTGAAGGCAGCTCAGCGCCTGCCACTTGGCTTGCTCTCTGCCCTGGGCCAGCGCCTGGCTGAACTGCAGCACCTCTATGCCCCATTGTACCAGAAGGCTTCCCAAAGCCCCAGCACCATCGACCCCACCCAGCCCCAGCTCCTTGGCCATGGCTTCTTTGAGAAGCACCGTGTGACCGTGTGCCTTGGTTATGGCTGTCTCCTGACGCTGCGCTCCCTGAGCTTTACTGTGCCTGCCAACCTGCACCTGCTGCTGCGGCCCGTGGCGCTGAAACTGCCTGACCTGCAGCAAGTGGCAGAGCTGACTCTGCTGGGTGCAGGGATGCGAGAGCCCTCCCGCATGGCCACCCGCCTGTCCAAATTCTTTACCCTAGAGCACCAGCTGCTGCCTGGGCCCCTGCCCTGCCGCTTGCCACTGCTCAGACACGTACTGGAAAACATGATCCAAGCACTAAACGTGACACAAAAGGGCCCCAGGTCTCAGCAGATGCGTGGTCTGGCTGCCGTCGAGGAGGCTGCCCTACTTCGTGCCCTGCTGTGCTCACCTCTGTTCAACATCCTTGATCAGAATCGCTTGGACAGCCTCCGAGAACTGCTCTGTGGCATCTTCCCTAGTGCCAGCCAGGTGCTGGCGGAGCCTGTGACCCACAGGCTGAAGAAGTCACTTGCAGTGGAGAAACTACGGCAGGTAGGCTTGTATCCCAACGCTGATATTTTGGGCTCCCTGGAGCAGCTGAGCCAGGCCCTGGGCCAGGCCTTGGGCATTTTGCTCCTGGGCCCAGCTGGCAGTGGCAAGACCAGTTGTTGGCACAGCTTATTTAAGATCCAGAACCATCTAGCAGCCATAGAGGACGCTTCAACCATGGGCTGCCAGCCTGTGGAAATTACTCACCTGTATCCCAGTGGCCTCTCCTCCCAGGAGTTCCTGGGATGGCTCGAGGGCCCCTGCTGGCACCAAGGCATTTTCCCCAGGATGCTCCGTGCCACCACTCACTATGAGACTCTGGGCCCGAAGAAGCAGGCACAGCCTTTGGTGGGAATCCAGCACTGGATTATATGTGACGGCGCTCCCAGTACTGCTTGGCTGGACTCCATCACTTGCCTCCTCGGCAACCCTCCTCGGCTTAGCCTCCCCAATGGCCATCAGATAGCACGACCCCCAGGGACGTTCCTCTTGCTGGAGGTAGGAGACACCACAGGCATATCCCCCACAGTGGTGGGGCGTTGTGCCCTGGTCTGGTGTGGTGGGGAGCAGACCTGGCAGGGCATGCTCAGTGTCCTGATGGCAGCCCTGCCCCAAGACTACCGCCTGCAGCACGAGACAGTCACTGAGCTCAACCACCTGGCCGAAGTGCTGGTGCCTGCCACGTTCCGATTCCTCAACTCCCAGGGCGCCAGCTCTGTGCTGCAGGTGCACAGGCAGCAGGCCGTTTGCCAGGGAGTGGCTGAAGTCACCAACCTGGCCCGCATCTTGCGCTGCCTGCTTGACCCCCACCTGCGCATCGATGAGGAGAAGGCAAACAACTCAGGTGGGGAGCGGCAAGGGCTCTGGAGGGCACCTGGGGTAAAGCCGGAGGCGGGTCATGGCTTCCCTGGTGGACTTGGATCTGGGCACTGAAACTGAGATGTGACGCAGCCAACCTCTGCTCTCCCCCCACCCCCGCCCCGGCTTTTCTCCACGGGGTCTTCTATTCATGATGACTTCTGCAGAGAACCTCGGCTATGGCATTCCTATGGTCCAAAACTTCAAGTTCTCAAAAATCCATCTGAGCCAGCCCCGGACAGACAGTGAAGACACAGCCACTAAGCACAGGGAGCACTTGCTGGCTATCAGCAGCTTTCTTTTTGCCTTGATCTGGGGCTTTGGAGCTCATCTTCCCTCCAGGTATCCAGGGCTCAGGGAAGGGAGGTGCGGAGGGCTGAGACACATGGACCCTTGGAAGTCACAAGTCAGATGCCGGTGCTGTCGGGAGAGAGTGGAGCATGTCAGTGTGTCACAAACAAAACCACAGTCATTGTCTGATGCTCCCCGGTATGTTCACCTGAACAGGCTCTGGCCCGTCTTTGATGTGTTCCTGAAGAACTCTATAAGTTCCCTCTCGAGCTACCCAGAACCACTGCCCTCAGCTTTAGTGTTTGATTTGCACGTGTGCCCCGAGAGTGGGATGCTGGTCCCCTTCACTGGCAAATACCTGAGCAGTCACATCAAGGGAACAAGCACCTTCAACCCTACTTCCCAGGTGTGAGGGAGGGCGATTGGGGTGGTAGATGAGGATGGGGATGGGGATCATAGAGATATCCTGGGTGGTCCACGCACTCGGGCCCCCTGAGGCCCAGCTGCTCCATTCACTGATGGGTTTTCCCAGTCACAAGGACACGCGAGGTGGTCTGCATGGGCAACTTTAAGATAAGACCCCCGAGACCTACCCTTGCAGCTAGCCATGGTCCTAAACGGGACCTGCCACAGTAAGTCCTGCTCCTTGTTGCAGACCGAACGGCTCTTGTACATGGTAGACCTGCTGCTGTCGGGGGGACACCCGGTCCTGCTGGCTGGGGAGACAGCAGCAGGGAAGTCGACTTTCGTGGAGGCGCTCGTGGAGCCACTTCACCCGTACCTGTACAGCGCCGTCCACCCTGCCTTCAGGACCACCCACCTTCGCCTTCTGCTGAGCCGAGGGGTCCAAGGTCAAGGACAAGGCAGCCCGGGGTCTGGGTGGCACCTGGAGTCTAAAGGCTCCCTGCTCTTCATGCTGGAGGATCTGCACCTGGCTGCGTCTGGTGAGGGGCTGGCAAGAGGAAAGGGAGGCGTCACTGTCACCTGGTCATGATAGAACTCCCCAGCCGTAGTCAGTCACTCTCAAACAGGCCTCCACACACCAAACCCCAGTGCTCCAGTCTTAGCACCTCTCGTCTCCCTACACTTCCTGAGCCATCTGACCCTGCCACGGCCTCCCCCACTACCTCTGAGCTTTGACTGTAGAGCTTTATTTCCCACCGGTCTCTCTTATAAGCATCAGTTGTTTGTCCCACTATCTACTCTGGGTCTCTTGCTCCACCTCAGATCCAACCAGGACCTCATCATCTCTCCCCAAAACCAGCTCCCCTGTGTCTTCTTAGTAACCAGTATCCCATCCATCCAGTCCCTCGAGTCCAAAAGCTTGTTGACACCTCCCCATCTCTCATCAATGTCTGGTCACCCTGTCTCTCCATTCCCCTGACATTCCTGAGACAGTGGTGGGGGTGACTGCAAAGGGGCATTAGGGAACTTTGTGGGGTGATGACAATGTTCTAGATATCATTGGGATGGTGGTCACACAGGTGTATATATTTGTCAGAATTCATCAAATGAGACACTTGACATCATGTACCTTTTATACAAGTCATGTTCCGACAAAGTGGACAGTGAGTGGGCACGCAATATGATGACTCTTTGTGACTGCTCAGCTCCCAACCTGTCCTATTCACTCACTGTCAGTGAATTAATCATTGTTCGTAGAGGTAGGATTTAGGGGAGAAGAGCACAGCACTTTGCTTCTTTCAAGAAGACAGAGAGAGAGAGAGAGAGATACCAACTGATTCAGACACACCAACGTCCAGCACATGAGAGGACAGCGTCCTTCCTGTCAGAGCCCTGTTTGTGTTGGAAGAAGACTCAGGGACACAGGGACAGGGAGGCAGGGCGACACGGTTATGGGGACGTGTGCACATCCTCATGGCTCTTCCTCATGTCCCACAGACTCTGAGATGCGCAGTCAGCCAGTACTGGAGACTCTGCGCCAGGCCTTAGATGGCACCGTGTATGCCCACGGCACGTTGGAGCTGCAGACACTGCACCCTACAGTCAACTTCCTGGCCACCATCACGGTACCTGGCTTCTGTGAGCGGCCCCTGTGCCCACGCCTCTCTAGACTCTTCACGGTGCTGGCCATGGGCAGAGTGACCCAGGCCACCCTGCTGAGCAGGCATGTGCCCAGCATCCAGGCCTGGCTTGAGCGCTTCCCCTCTGTGGAGCTGGAGGGGCTTCTAGCAAGATCTCTGGTCCGGGCCTCTATGGAGGCCTGGGAGGCTGTGAGCAGCTCCTTTCTGCCTTCTCCCTTCCACCCACACTACCGCTTCTCCCTGCACTCTGTGAGTCAAATCCTGGGCAGCCTGCAGCTACTGCCCACCAGAATGGGCCCCCGAGGCTTTTCGGACAGCGAGCGCCACCAGGAGCACTTGCGCCGTGTGTCAGGGCTGCACGGCTCCCGCCTGACGGTGATGATGAGCATACGCAATATGGTGCGGCTTTGGTTGCATGAGGCACAGAGAACCTTTTGCGACCGGCTGGACAGCCTGAGGGAACGCTCCTACTGTGGCATGATGCTCCTAGAAATAGCCCAGAGTGTCTTCTGCTGTGGGTCAGCACCCCAGCACCTGGGCAAGGGCTTAGGAGCGGGGGAAGTGGAGGAAGAGAGGATGCTGGAAGTGGAGTCCGAAGAGGAGCTGGCCCAGTGGGAGAACATCAGCGACAGCGGCAGTGATACTGAGGAGGAGGAGGACCCTTACGGCCTTCAGGTCACCGGTGATTCAGGCCTGCCACTCTCCGCAGAGCCATCGAAGAGGGAGGCCACGGAGACCATAAGTCAGAAGACAAAGCAGGAGGAAAGCATCCACACCTGCAGCTATAAGTCCCAGCTAAAGAAACCTGAGGCTTGGTGGCAGAAGACACCCCGGCTGGACCTGATCTCACCCCTGTTGCTACCAGTATTAATACTGTGTCCCCAGGAAAAACCCTCAGACTTGATTTTCAGTCAGGACCTTATTCTGGAACCCCACTCTAGGAACCCCAATTTTTATCTGGAACGACAGTGGAGGACCCTGAAGGAACAACTAGCCACCTCAGCTGCTCGGCTGAAGCTGAGCCCACACCTTGCTCAGTGCCGCTCCATGACCCAGCATGTGGCCCACCTGGTCCGGGTGCTGGCCAGACCCCGGCAGCATGGCCTTCTGATCTCAGGGGCTCCTGGTACTGGGCGCCATACTGCCGTCACTCTGGCAGCTGGCATTGGTCAGGCCAGCCTCTTCCATCTGCCATCGGGCCCAGAGGAGGCCATTCTCCAGTGTCTGCGGGATGCTAGCTGGCATGCTGGCATATTAGGCCAGCCAGTGGCCCTGCTAGTGGCCAGGGGCGTGGATCTTACCACCCTTCATCGCCTGCTGGCCTTGGCAACCTCAGGCAGCTTCCCTGACCAGTACTCAGAGGCGGATCTGGACAACATCGAAGAACATGTCCCTAGAGACAACCTTAGCATCAAGCAAAACTTCAGGAAGGATATGCTGTTGCAGAGGTGAGGCCAGGAACCCTGTATGAGGACTGTTCTGGGAAAAAGACCAAAATCAGGTCTAGGGGTCACCGTGAAAGCACAGAAGACCTGGGCTGAGGGATCAAGGTTGGGATTGGGGCCTGGAAAGGGCAGGGGGGGTGCAGGGGAGGCTAGTGTCTGAGCCCATGGCCCACAGGTTCTACCAGCAAGTGTGTAGCCACCTGCATCTGTTCATCCTGCTCGAAGATGACCAGGTCCGTGAGAAGCTGCCCTCTACTCTTTTACTGAGGCTCCTTCAAGTGACTGTCGCCAGCATTGACCGCTATGAACCTTGGGACCAAGCCACCCTGGTCAGTGTGGCCCAGCACTACCTGGAGAGTGCTAGGAGTCCGCCCCTTAATGACGGTGAGCCCTCTTTACCTGTGCTCACATGCATCTCAGCCAGGTTCTGAGGAGGTTTACTGCTTAGGTCTGTCATCCTCTCTCTAGAATCTAGGCAACCCCTTCATCTTTTCCGTTCTTTTCCTGAGCCAGGAGGAAGTGCCTGTGCTGTCTCTCCCCTCCACACCCCTCCCCACTCTTCTCCTCTCCTCTTGTCCCCCTTCTACTCCCTCCCCTCCCTTCTCTTCCCCCCACAAGCTTACAGGTCCATACCAAAGCCATGCCTGTTGCAGATTCCATGATGTACCCAGACCTCCAAGCCTCAGTTCCCAGTGTGGCCAGAGTCATGGCTCTCATCCACCTTTCGGCTGCCAGTTACCATGGACACCTGTGCCCTGCATTGCCACTCGTCACCCCCAAGACTTTCCTAGACTTCCTGGGCACCTTCATGCAGCAGCAGCAGCAGATGATACTGCAGATTAGAGATAAGGCTCACCTGTGAGTAGCACCTCCCCAGCACTGTAGCTCCTCCTGCTCCCCAGATCCCCTCATTGGCACCTTGTGTTTCCAGAATCAACAATGCCCTGTGGAATCTGAAACTGATGATTGAGCAGCACAAAACCTTTACCAACCTGGTCTTCAACTTGGAACAGCAGCTGAAAGTTTCCCGCAAGGTAAAGGGGAGACAATTAGAAAGCAGGCACAGCAGGGTCAAAGCAGGCACCCAAAGGGACTTTGGAGGAACTAACCAGACTGAGTCTTAGTTTTTGTCTCCCGAGAGTCCTCAAAGGCAACTCTCTAATCCTTGATGCCTCCCCCTTTAGAGCTCAGGCTCAAAGTGCCCAAATATCTCCTTCTGGTTGTCCCAAGCACCTGATTGTGTGATGTGCAGAGGCCCCCCCAAGATCTCTGCGGATTTCCACTGGAGACAGGGCAGTGGTGACATTCTCAGGGTCACCTCTCTCTCTTACCCTCTCCTCCTGAAATCACTGGGCACGCCTCTTACATGGTGGTCTCTTCCCATGCCACTGTTCTTATATGTTCCTTCCACAAAAGTACCAAGTAGATACCGGGTTGTTTTGTACGTGGGGAACAGTGGGTGGGTAACAGCAGCAGGGACCATTTCCATTCAAACACAGAACCAGAAATAGATTCAAATGCTAGTGCAGACAGCAATGTTTTGAATTCCCTCTGTCATGTGTCTCTCTACAGGAGATTTCCCAGTGACGGGTTCTTCTTCCCTCTTCTCCCTAGTACCTGCTCCCCAATGTTTTTCAGCAACTACACTCTTCCTTTGGAGCTTTCCAAATACAACCCTCATGTAAAAGGAGATATTTTTCTAGTTTGTAGCTTGAATCCTGCTGCTTCCCTACACACAGCAGTGTTCTTGCTTGAGTGAACAGGCCTCTCAGATCTAGCTAAAACTGCTGAGTGAGAGACCATCACTCCTACTGCAGCCAACTACCCTCAGGTAAAGGTGATTTTTCCGAGAGAGAACTTTTTTTTGCCTTTTGTTTTTAATAAGAGGAATCCTGATATACCTTTTTTATTTTTCCTTCCTACTATATAAAACTTTGATGAAGGTTCAAGGGTAACTACTAGAGGAGTGAACTAGTGATTAACTCCCAAGCACATAATCTGACTGACTTGCCACTGGGCTTTTAGACCTTATGGCTCCAGTAGCGTGGCCTGTGTGCCCTGAGGGTGCCACCCAGGGTCCCACAGCTCCAGGGTCCCACACTCACACCATCCCCCTGTTCAGGGATTTCATTTCATTTCATTGTGGGAGGTGCTTCCTGGGGTTCTCATGCCTGCTACCAGCTGCAGAGATGCAGTAGTTTGGATTGTATGGCCAGAGCCCACTGGAACATGGCAGAAAAGTTCATAAACAGACAGGAATTCCCATGTTTTCCAAATTCTGGTTTCCTGTCTGGACCCTACCTTTTCCCAAGACTTGTTGATCTGTCTCAGGGGTGCTATTATTCTTTGATCCATCCCTGGATCATTATATTAGAGTACATCAGCCCAAAACATGGGTCAGAGTTGTTCACAGTCCCAGACGTTTGTAACATTCCATGTCAGGTCCTCAGCCATTCTCTCCATCGCCACAATCATTGGTACTTCTTTCAGGGTTCCCCACCACAGGAAATGGCACCACCCATTTAGTCATTTAAGCCAAAGCTCAGGAGCTGTTCTGGATCCATCTCTGTTTTCTCTGTCATATTCACTTAGCTTATTTATTCATTGTTATACTCAACAAAAATGAATAGAACTCCACATTTTTGGTACAGGCACACATTAATAATTACATGTATGTCTGTATCTCAAAGGATGGATAGATGGATGGATGGAATAAGAGATGGAGTCAGGGTGACAACTAGGTTCCTTCTTTGGGACACTTGGGTATATTTTGCGACAGTTATCTGAGAAAAAGACTGCATGAGGGCACAAGATTCCAAGAGATCTAAGGAGGCATGGCTGATATGTTTATTCCTGGGCACTTGGGTACGTGTGAGAGCAAAGAGGAGATGTCCACTAAGCAGGTGGAACCTGGGTGTGGCACTGAGAAAGAAATGTGGGAGGACTGATGATCAAAGTCATGATATTAGGGAGGGAGCATCAGTGTGGAAGGAGCATCAGTGTCAAGGGAGAAGCGAAGGGGGCTCTGGAAAACTGAGAAAGAAAACTAGAGCAATTGGAGAAGCCAAGAGAGAGCATGGCATCGTGGAGTCCAGGGTGGAGAACAGGACAGAGGGAAGTTTCTCCTGTGACAAATGCCACCAGGTGCCAGGTGAGAGAAAGACTCATCTAGTGGCTACGCATGGAGGCTTGATTCCAGATGTCCTGGCTCTGTGTACTGGGTCAAGAGAAGTAGCCACCCACTGGGGGCTGCATTGCTAGATGTACAACTAACAGATCAATAAGTGGCATGTGTATCTGTGGCATCTTGGGTGCGCAACGTGGCCACCCTCACCAAGTGAAGGGTAGGCTGGAGTTCCAAGTCTTTGGGGTCTTCCTGTTACAGGGCAGGGAGAGAAGGGCAACCCTGAACCCCCAAACCTGCCTGCTCTAAATAGGTCCTGCCATCTGCCGCACCGAGACTAAACATATAAGACTTTAATGGAAAGGAACTTTAATACAGTGAGTATACAGTATGGAACGCAAAGAATATGATTTCTAAATCAAACACCTGAAGTTACCCATCCCCTCATGGGCAAAAGTCAACCCAAAAGGGATTGGTCCAAAGCAAGGCCTGAAAGCCTGCCACAAGCCTAAAGCACCTTATGGCTGGGACCCATAAAAAAGGGTCAGAAATGGCCAGACAAGTCTGGGAGGAAAAGAGCAAAATCAAAATCAATATAAACATTGCCATAGTCACCTCCCTACAGGTATCTCACCCACATCTGCCTTAACCAGTCCAGGCCAAGAAACAAGCACGGTTTCTTCATCACATGCTTGCTGCTCCATGTGGCTTCATCAGGTCTCCTTCTGGCTCCCCATCCTTCTTCCTTCCTCTTCAGAGTCCTTCTCTTTTTTTTTCTCTGCTCAGCTCCACCCTCCAGGGCAGGGAACCTGGAACTTCCCCTTTTCTTAGGGACCACCCTGTTACATTCCCACCTGGCCCAGGCTCTGGAGCTACAGAGCCTACATCCTGTTCACAGAGCCTCAGCACGTTGCACCAACAGCTAGAGCAAGACAGGCTTCAATATCAGCAGCTGCTGACGGAGAGCCGGCATCAGGAGAACCTCATTGAAAACCTGACCAAGCACCGAGATGCCCTGCATGCCCAGCACACAGCATTCCTGGAGCAGGTGGGTCTTCTCGCTGCCTGCCCTGCAGGGTTCCTTTCTTGGATGGGGACGACCCTGCAAAGAATGCCTGGAGAAGAGGATGGGGCAGGGTGACCAATGTCATGGAATGTCCTGGGGAAGGGGCAAAGGGAATTGGATGGCTTGGCGAACGGTTCCTTGTGGGGGCCGTGATCCTGGCAAAACCCTGAAGAGAGATAACAGTTCGGAGCTCAGGCCAAGAGTGTCTCTTGATCATCTAGATGGGCACAGCATTTCAGGGGCCCCTAAGCCAGCTACAGGTGGCCGACTTTGAGGAGATTCGGAGCTATCGAGCACCCCCAGAACCCGTGGTCCGGGTAACTGACGCACTGTGTGAACTGTTCCACCGTAAAACAGGCTGGGCCAGTGCCAAGCAGCTGTTATGCTCTGAGGACTTCTATCAGGTAGGCAGAATGGAGCACAGTAGAGGAAGAGCAGGGAGACTTGGTAGTGTTAGACTGTTGGGGCAAGGTTCAAACATCTACGTCTTCCCCACCTCTCTTCATACTCCCCCCAGGAGCTGGTGTTCTTCCCCAAGGACAAGATAACTGACTCGGAGCTGATAAAGCTAAAGCTAGCCCTGAAGGCCCCAGGCATGAGTGAGGCTGCCTTGCAGGCCGTGAGTTTGCCTGCAGCAAGCCTAGCAGCCTGGCTCTGGGCCATTCTGCGCTATAGTCTCGCGCAGCGCCGAGGGCTGCCCACGGGCCTGCTGCTGCAGCAGGTCGAAGCGACGCTAGCTAAGGAGCAGGCCCGCATGGGTCACTACCAGTTCCAGGCCCAGCAGATCCTGGAGCACACGCTGGCGCTGACCAAGAAGGTGCAGTCCACACAGGCCTCCCACTGCCACATGGCAGAGGATCTCAGCTGGGCACAGTGTAGCCAGTACCACAAGTGGCCCATAAAGGCCGCACTGCTGACGCCCATCTATTCCTGGACCTCAGATATTCAGGTGCCAACCCTCCCAGGTTCACAGCTGCACCCCTACCCCACCCTCTGCTGCTCCCTGGGCTCTCAACTGCCTCCCTCTGTCCCACTCCACCATCTTTGTCAGGCCTCTCTCTGTCAAACCCTCTGGTCTTCCCTTCACACCAGACACTGCAGGAACACTGCGTGACCGTATTTGGAGATGCCCTCCTGTGTTCAGCTGCCATCACCTACCTGGGCCACTTCCCAACACAGCGACGCCAGGAGATACTAGACAAGTGGCTGGCACTGTGCAGAGGCTTTCAGGAATCCCTAGGCCCAGACGACATGGCGCAGGCCCTGAAGCAACACCAGAAATCTGGCAACGATGTCCCTCCTCCAACCCCCCTGCTGTCCACACGCACTCCCTTCAACCTCCTGTTCTTGCTGAGCTCGAAATCAGAGCAGTTCCAGTGGGACCGAGACCTGAAGCCCCAGGCCAAGTCAGCCCGTCTGGCAGGCCTGTTTCTACGAAGTCGCACCCACTACCACAGTTGCCGCTGGCCTCTGCTGCTTGACCCCAGCAACCAAGCCCTCATCTGGCTGGACCCACTGCCTCTGGAAGAGACTAAGTCCACGGGCCCAGATGACGGGCCCAGAGGCAGAGGTAAAGCCAGGGATAGACAGCACTTTTCAGGTTTCTCAGCTGCCCAACATTCTCAGCTACAGGTGATCTCCCCTTTCAGAATGAAGAAACGAGATTATTTCAGGTTATTCTAGGTTTCTCCAGTCTAAGTGATACTGATTGGTTAGTTTTGTTGACATTTTTCTGACTCTTATTACAGTGATCTCAAGACCATGAGCTCTCACACAATGGTCTGCTCAGTGTGATTGGAGACTCGTTCTACAGCTCAGAACTTAACTATCCATATTCAGGAATTCCGGAGAAATATTTCGAATGACTCAGCATGGACCAGGGACACATGTGGGTGGGATGTCACAAGAGGCATTTCCTAAGGGAAGGAAGCAACAGGTGTTTATTTCTCAGAAGAGGTTGGGGCCTCCCTGGTGCTGGGGTTAAAGTCTCAGCACTATCAAACTATCGGCAGCCACTGCAATGTGAGTGAAGTAAATCTGTAACTGTAATAAATTTTCTGTTTAGAAATTGGAAAAGAGTAAAAAATGCACACTAATGTGTTAGTCTCTTGCATGTGCAATATAATGGCAGACAGAGACAGCAAGGCAAATGGAGTGAGCTCTTGTCTGGCCTATTTGGTTGCCCTAGATTCTGATAAATAGCATAATTTTCCGTGTTATTGTCCCAGGCCTATATGCGAAAGGAAAGATCAGCATCTCCTTTTGTAGCTGTTTGGCCTTATACATCCACTTCCTGTTGGAATGGGAATGAGGCTTTGTATTTACCTTAAAATTAAACAAAACCAGATGACTTGCTACGAAGTGGGATATTTTCTGGCTAATCCTTATAAATCTCTCCTTTCCCTGCAGATTTCATTTATAAGGACTCTATAAGCTATTAACTAATGCCTGGGAACAGTTTCAGAACTTAAACCATTTCTGTCTCTTAACACTGGTTCAGGGAGCTCCATCATTTCCTCCGAGCTTTGGTGTAATTGTCATTCTTCTCAACTTCAGATGTCACCCCAGAGCAATAGTGCAAAAACAGAGCCGTGAATTTAGCAAACTGACTGTGGAATGGAATCCTCTTACTGTGGAATGTACCCAAATCAAAAGAGAGAGGGAGATTATCATCTCTGTCAGGCCGAAGGTGCACAGAGAGCCTCTTGTGATGGGCCCAGATGATTGGGCTGCCCTAATTTTCCACGCTCCTCCAATAACCTGTAATTTCCTCTTCCATGCAGGATAGATAGAGAACCATTTCTACAAATTAGCAAGGTACATGAGTATCTGATCATGTGTAGATTGAAAATTCATGATATGCCAAAAAAAGGTTTATTTCTGGAGACTTTTCTATCACCTAAGTAGAGATGTAGTCAGCATGCTCTGGTATTTCCCACTGAAACCACAAAGACTAGAGGTGCATGGTCCCAGAACCATGAGATAAGTCAACCTCTTCCCCACCATATTGCTCAGCCACCTTCCCAGGAAAGAAAAGGGAAATCCTGACTGGCCACATCCTCACCCCAACTCATTGTATCAGTTGGGAATTTTCTAAGTTGCCAACAACAAAAGCCCAGCCTATCTTGGCTTAAACAAATAGGAATTTATTTATCTACATTATGAGAAATACTAAAGCAAGCAGTGTTAACTCCAAGCATCCAGATTCTTCTCTTTCTGCTCTGTAGCCTTAGAAAGTTGGCTTATTGTAATGCGCCATATGGTTCCCCCCCCAAGATATCCGAAGTTTAACTCCCAGAACCTATAAAAGTAAACATTTGGAATTAAAGTCTTTACAAATGTAATTAAGTTAAGGACCTTGATGAGACCACCAAAGGTTATTTGGTCCAATTACAAGTGTCTTTATAAGAGGAGAGACAGAAGAAAAGACACAGGTATATAAAGGGAAGACCATATGAAGATAGAGATAGAGTTCAGACCAGAAAACTCTTCAAACTACTAAAATCTGGAGGAGGCAAAGGCCTCCTTGGTGGCTCAGGGGTTAAAGTATCTTCACTAGCAAGTTATAGCCAGCCACTGTGGTATGAGTTCAATCCCCAGCCAGGGAGGTGACCCATATGGCTCAGCAGACCTTTTGTCTCACATGCTGCTTCCCTCAGCAGTGTATTTCAGTGGATCTGCTTGGTCTGCTCCCCACTTTGTCTCTGGTGAATCCTCTCACCACCCACCACCCACACACACCTCTGACCCAGTTCTTGTATGCCTACATAAATAAAAATGAATCTTCGAAAAAAGAAAAATAAAACTGGAGGAGGCAAGGATGGAGTCTCCCTTAAAGCCTTTGAGAAGGAATATATCCTTTCTGATATGATTTTGAATGTCTTGCCTCCAAAACTGTGAGAGAATATGTGTCATTTTAGGCCACTAAATCTCTTGTAATCTGTCACCAAATCAACTGCTACCTCTCCATGCACCATGACAGAGAGTGACTAACCCAGAGGTAGGCAGACTCTGACCCTATACTCATTGCCCTCTGGGTCACTCCCATGAGTGTTATGAATTGTTATGACATGACAGGAGAGACTGTGCAGATGTAATTGAGGTTACAGATCAATTGACGTTAGGATAAAATTATTACCCTGAATGGGCTCAGCTAATACATGACCCTTCAAAGAAGAAAGGGAGAATTAAGAAAGATCTGAAGCCCAAGAAGGATTCTTGGGCTACAGGAAAAGTATTGAAAATGATAAATTTTGTAAAAAAAAAAAAAAACAAAAAAAACCAGTAGACCTGGAAGATGGCCCAATCCCAGATGAGAGCTGAGAAGCCAGTCATGTTGTACTGGTTTTTAACCTGTTCAGCTAGGAGATTAATGGGTGTGGATTTGAGCTTCTAAATGTGTGATAATTTATTTAAAAAAAAAAATAGGAAATGAATATACCAAGCTTCACTTGCCTTAAATGCTTTACTACTTTTTAAAAAATCTTAAAATTTTTCATACTTAAAAAAAAAAAAAAAAAAACAGTGTCTTTTCCAGCCCCTGCAGAGGAGGCACTGGAGAAGCGGTGGGGGATGATTGTTGGTGAGCCAATCATCTGTGTACAACACTTGACACAGGATTTGGCCCATTGCATTGTTTATGCACTGCTTCCAGGCTCCAATTTTGGTAGTGGAAAAAAGCCATTTTAGCAATGGCACATCTAATTGTTAGTGATAAAATTAGCTCAGGCATAAAAGAGAAATGCTATGATGCTTCCAAGCAACCTACAGAAAAGCAGAGATGGAACCAAATTCAGGGATGACCAGACACCACTCCTGGCATTTCTGAGTTAGAATAATGGTAGCCAGCACTCATTGAGTGCTCATGGGGACCTGTTACATGCTTCCTATATGTCATGTCATGGTATCTTCCATGAGCTACTCACTGGTATCACCCCATTTGCAGATAAGGGAAAGGGGGGATACAAAGAGTTCAGACACCTTTCCAGGGTATCTTCCTGCAACTTCCCTGAGATGGAACGCTTGGCACTCCCCAGGACCCTGACTCCTATTCTTTTTTTTTTTTTTTTAACATTTATCTATTTATGCATATAGAACTGGGGTGCAGATGAGAAGTGCAGGGACAGTGAGAGGATTCACCAAAGACAGAATAGGGGGCAGAACAGGCAGATCGACAGAGTACACTGCTGAGGGGAGCAGCAGGCAGACACCTGCCCATCCCCCACCCCCCCACCCCCCACCCCTGCAGGGGGTTGAACTCACATAGAAGCAGCTGCAGCTTGCTTGCAGTGTTGTGCTTTAATGTGCTGCGCCACCAAGGAGGGCCCCTGATCCCTCCTCTGAAAAGAGCTCCTTTGCATCTTACTGCCACAGGTAAGGGTTCTGTGAACAACCAAGAGGCAGACATGGAAAATGAAGATGACAGCAGTGAAGAGGATGATAAGGCTGTTGACGCAGCAAAAGAGAAGGCAGAGGGAACTGAAAATGAGGAGGGAAAAAAAGAAGAAAAGCAAGAGCAAGAGGAGAAGGAGACAGAGCGTCAGCAGTCAAGGCCAGCCCCAGAGCCGTCTCTGCCTGTTCCCTACCTTAGTGTGCTCTCAGGCTCTGACCCAGAACTGGGTTCTCACCTCCAGGAGGCAGCTGCAGGTGGTGAGAACTGGTTTTCCCCGACTCTGTGGTCCCATAGGCCTCTCATACCCCAGTCTGACCTCATCACCCCTCCTCTGATCCCTGGTACTAACCCTGTAGAAGAGCCACACAGGAACCATCTAGTCAGCTGGAAGGGTGCAGGGTAGCTGGTCAGATGTTGTGCCTGGGGCTGGGGTGGGGCAGCTGCTGGCATGGTGGGTAGGGTGTCCTTGCTGTTCCCTCACAGGCCTGCCTGTGCTGCTGACCCACATGGAGCTGGGCCTAGAGTGCCTGGAACTGCAAAGGCTACTGCAGAGGGAAGAGCTGAAGCCACCTGAGGTGCAACCTGGTTTCTGTCTCTATCTGAGCACTACCCTCCCCCTCAGTGCCTTGGGAAAAGGTGAGGCCCATTGGGTACATTGCCAGCATGGTTTTGCAGACACAGAACACCCCCAGCTTCGCTAAGCCTGGCCCAGGGCAGGCTCAGGGCTCAGCCATACTTCTGGTGTACCCCACCCCCTGCCTCTGCCAGGGAGCAGGGGTTAAGTGTTTCTCTCTCATATGACCCCAAGTGCTAGGCTATGAACTGCTGAAGGGGCTGAACGTGCTGGATCTGAGCTGGAACGTGGAAATCCTAGAAGAACAGATGCTGAATGAAATCATGTGTGTGGAGTGTCCTGAGCTCAAAGCCCGCTGGCAGGACCTACAGCTCAGAATCCTGGATACTTTCAAAGCTGTGGAGGCCACTGAGGTGCTTGGGGACGCTGTGGGTGGGGATAGATTTTGGAGGGACCCAGGCATGGGACTGGAGATGAATGAAGATCATTGGGAATGCAGTGGGAAGGGCCAGATCAAGCAACCAGTCCCTGTGTGCAGGAGCAGCAGCTGCAGATGCGGTGGCTCCAGACACCCAAGAGTCAGAGACCAGCCAAGTTCCTGCGAGACATGGTGAGGTTCCAGGCAAAGCTGGTTCAGCTCCGTGCCAAGTATGAGGAACTGGAAGACCAGAAGCAACAAGAGATAGTATTGTGGCTACCCTATCGGCAAGTGGTTTGGCAGGGCATAGCCATTATAAAAGCCCTTCACCCACTGCAGAACCTGCTGCCACCTTTCTGTATGAGCCCAGAGAAGTGGCTGGCACTCACCAAGCAGACTTTGCACAGCATGAAGCACCATGAGGTTTTTCAGAGCAAGGACCTTCCCAGATACCTGCTGCATTTGAGGAACAAGCTGACCCGCAAGCTGCTGGACAGCACTGTGGCTGCCCTCGGCCGAACCCATGTACCCTTGGTGGGTGCCCTAGCAGCTCTGGCTCTCCTGCAGGTGGTGAAGAAGGCACCAGAGCTGGAGAGGCTGGCATTTTGGCCTGGCCTGGCGGCTTCTTCCAGCACAGGCTACAGCAAGTCAGTGCCAGGTGTGGTTCGGCCGAGCTGGCTAGGGCTGAGGGCCTGGTCCGAATGTGGGATGTTAGAGATGCTGCCCCCATTCGCTGGGCTGCGGGCATCACTGGCCAGCCACTCTGATGTTTGGCAGGATTACCTGTCACTTTCATCCACAGTGCTGGGTCCCGCACCGGGGCCTGGATCTAACCCCCTTAGCCTCCTCCAGAAGCTGATCCTGTGGCGCGTGCTGCGGCCGGACTGCCTGGCAGGTGCCCTGGCAGACTTAACCACCAGTCTCCTGGGCCGGCCCCTGGATGAGAACCAGGGGGCCTCCACGCTATCCTTTGAGCAGAGTAAGGCTACTCAGCCCACGCTGATCTTGTTGCCACCACCTGGTTACTCCTCAACCACCCTGCACCCCCTGGGTGTCATCCAGAAAATGGCTGCCACATTTAAGCAGGTTGGAGTCTTCTGGCCTCTTGTGGGTTGGTTGGAGTGTGGGTGTCCCCTCCAAGCACTCTCATGGATATTTCTGGGTTACTCAGAGACATTTGGGATCACGCTAGCATGACACTGGGTCTTCGGGATCACCCTCGGGTCACTGAGTTACTTTGCCTTTTCTCTACTGTCCCCACGGGCAGAAGCAGCTGCAGGTGATAGCCCTGGGCTCTGAAGCCTGGGACCCCATCTCAGCTGTGCTCAGCTCTCTAAGCCAGGCTATGTACAGAGGGCACTGGCTGGTGCTGGAGAACTGTCATCTGATGACTCGCTGGCCAAAAGAGCTGCTACAGCCCTTGCTGGGCCTGGTGAATGGAGCCAAGGGTGCGTTTGTCCGTCTTGCATGTGGGCCTAAGTTTGGTCTCTCAGGCCTCTGGGCTGACCCCTCAGCTCCAATTCTGTCCCCTGGTATCATCGTAGATATGTGTCTGAGCCTTTGTCCAGTCACTGATCTTGGTCTCTTGTCTGACCCCTAGTGGTCTCTGGGCTGGAGTTAGAGCTGCTGTTAGCTCAGCCTGAAGGAAAGAATGTGGCCTTTGTCCACAAAGATTTCCGTCTTTGGCTTATTGTGTCTGCAGAGGCTATTGATTCCTTACCAGGTGAGGAGCTTCTCCCGCAGGCCAGGGGGCACTCACATTTGAGAGGGAGGAGGACGGTGCTGTGCTGACTCAGCCTTCTTCTTCCTCCCCAGCTGTGCTGACTCAGCACTGCAAGCCTGTTTTCTGGGACCAGTCCTTGGAGCTGAGCCATGTGCTGGTAGACAGTGTGGAGCTAGCCCAGCAAGGGCTCTCAATGCAACCCTCTTTCAGGGCGCTGCCTCTGCTCTTCCTACACAGCCTCTTGCTCCACAGGCAGCTCTATGGAATGAAGCTGCAGGCACACCGGGGGCGCTGGTGAGGGACCCCACGCTGCCCACTCTGCCAGTCATTCATCATACCCTGAGATTTCCCATGTATGGGATGAGTAGGACCAATTCAGCTCGGGGGGCTCCAAAGTATAAAGGCAAGCAAGCGAAAGCCCAGAAACCTTTCTCTAAGGACTTGGGGGCCTTGCTTTGAATTGGGTCTGGAACACAGAGGCCAATCAGGAGACAGGACCTTTCTGAGCAGGAGGAACTAAGCTCAGCAGGAGGGATAACTTAGAGTAGCTGAGGAGGCTATTTGAGGTGGGGCTTGAGGGGGAGAGATGGGGTTTATAGAAAAGGGACCTAAAGATCATGACAAGGAACCTGACATCCCAGGAACAATGGGAAGCCACTGCAAGCTTTAAGTGGGAGTAGAAGGGTGATCTTATTTGCCTGCAACCGGCTCCAGGGTGAAGAAGGGGCCTGGCGAGGCAGGGCTGGATGTCAGCAGCTGTGGAAGCTCTGGCAGTCTCGAGAGAAGAGATGATGGTATGGGTGGCAGAACCAGGGTGTCACAGGAGAGAGTAAATGTGGGGTAAGGATGAAGGTTGGGTGGACCTTGGATTTCTGCCTTGGATCATATGAGCAGTGGAGGGAGGGATGATTTCAGTTAAAAACAACTTGTATTTAGAGGGCAAGTGGCGATGGTTAATGAGCCTTTGAGAGCCTGAAGCTGAGAAAGGCTTGGGTTGCAGAGAGATGAGAACATCAGCATGTAGGAAACACGACTTCCTGCTCTGCTCACCCAGGAGTCACGTGATTCTGACCCAGGCCCTTCAGATCCAAGACCAGCTGTGGGCCAACCTGAGCAATCCCAGTGCTGCCATGCAGGAGCTGGCTGGTGAGACCCTCCCTGACTCCCATGTAAGGGTCAGCCCTCAGGAGAGCCTGGGAAGGGCTGGGTGGGCCCCGCACCACTTTTGTTTGGGAGGGAGTGGAAACTGGAAGGGCTGCAATTAAAGGGATTTGATCTCATCCTCAGCTTCCATCTTCTATGGGGGCCCCCTGGGAGACAGCACAGATAGGGAGGCCCTGCTTAGCCTCACGCAAGCCTGCCTGAACCCCAGCAGCATGGCCCCGCCACACACCCCCCAGCATCTGCTGGCCGCTTTGATGCCCAACCCAGGTAAGTTCACAAGATGTCTGTTGGAGTGGAGAACAGAGCAGACCAATGACAACCTCACACAAATGTGAGCAGCAGCATCGGCAAAGGTGTAGAAGGGGGCGGCATTCTGATAGCTACTGAGTGACGGTGTGAAGTGTTAGAGGAGGGCCCACGCCATGGGTAGGGTGTGGACAGTTGGTCTTCTCTCTCACCCCTCACCTCTGCCTCTAAGAGCTGAGGGAGCAGGATGCTGTGGCAGAGTGCAAGGCCCAGATGTACCTACTGCCCAAACCACCCGAACCCCAGACCTGTGGACTTAGTGTTGGCACCCAGGCCTGGCTGTCACGACGCCGGAGTCGCTCTCTCTTGAGGGCGCTACAGAGGAGCTCCCTGACTTGGGTTCCCGCGGCTGGTAGAGATTTCCAGCTCTCAGAGAGGCGGCTGCGCCAACGTGTGGCACAGGCCAAGCGGAAGCTGGAGTCACTGCAGGATCTGCTGGTGGAGGCCACCAATCAAGAGGGGCTAGGCATGGAGCGGCTGGTGCTGGGGCTGAGTATGCCACATCCTCTGGAGGACTTTCTCAAAATGGAGGTGCTGGAGCTGAGCCAGCTGGTGGGCATGCTGCTTCAGGACCTCGACTGCCTGCTGCAGCGGCTGAAGGGGGAGCCCCCCTGCACCTCCCTGCGCTGCACTGCAGTGGCCCAAGCACTCTGGACTGGCCGGCTACCTCTGCCCTGGCGAGCCCATGCTCCAGCTGGTCCCCAGCCACCCTGGCACTGGCTGCAACAGCTGCCGCGCCGTGGCCAGCTGCTGGTTCACTACTTGGGTATGGGTGCCCAAGGACAAGTGCGCACCTTTCACCTGTCAGCCTTTCGAAACCCACGCCGTCTGCTGCTGTCCCTGCGCTGGGAGGATTCCTTTGCGAAGATGGCCTGGGAGCAGTATGCACTCACCTCGAACATTCCTCATAGCCCAGGCTCCAGTTCCAATAAGCTCCCCACAAAGGCTCCTGAGCTGAACAGCAACCCTCTGCTTTTCCAGGTATCTTCCTGCTGCCCCTTTGTTTCCAAATCCACACTCCTCGGAGTTCCTTATTACATTTCACAGTCACCCCAGTTAGCTTCTTCATGCCCTCAGTAACCCTGTCTGCTACTCTGGCCCTCTCACCCTGAACCCCCCAACTTCCTAATCCTGCCCAACCAACTTCTGGCATCCCCAGGTGGTGAGTGGCCCAAATGCCACGATACCAGAGGAGGGGCTGCTGCTGGCCGGGCTTCAGCTCCGGAACGCCGAGTGGGACACACATGTCGGGGCCTTGCAGGACGGGCCCTCCAGACAGCCCACACCTCTGCCTCTGGTCAGTGTCAGTGTCCGGGCCCAGGGCACCAACGACCTGCCACCCCCTGGTGGCCTGGCTGTCTATTCCTGTCCTGTGTACATGGAAGGGCCCCTGGGTGCCAGCAGGCTACACAGCAGGAACGTCGTGATGCACCTGCCCCTGCCCACCAAGCTCAGCCCCACCATCTGTGTCCAGCGGAGGGTCCATGTGTGCAGTCCACCCCTGCCCTGAGCCTGCAAGCAGAATAAAGCTGGAGCGATTCATGAAAGATGTCTGAGATTTGCAAGGCGTGTAGGTTGTGTGTGCACAGGGAATATAGATGTGACCTCTGAGGGGAAGCACAGTGAGAGAGGGAGGCAGAAGAGTGTAGTTTTTAAAAAAATTGCCAGTGGCTATATAACAACTTACCCTCAAGTGTATAACTCATTTCTCTCTTGCACAAAACTAAAATTTAAATTCCTGATTGGTGGTAGCTCTCCTCTAAGTGACGCCCAGGGATCTAGTCTCCATCTTCAATGTGTGGCCTTCAAAGTTATAAGCTTGCATGCATCTAATTGGTCAAAGCGCACATAAGATGGTGGGGGTGGCAGGGAACCATGCACAGGAAACTTCAGGACCCAAGTCTGGAAGTAGCACATCTCGGTTCCACTACCAACCCACCGGGTGGATTCTACCACACAGCCACACTCATGTAAAAGGGAAGGAGGGAAACAGGTCCAGTTGACTTGCCAGCCAAGAAACGGATGTGCGGTACAGTCAACATGTCTCTGTCACAGCATCCATCCATACACCACCATTTATTTTGCCAAAGATATATATGTACAACACACACACCGGGGAGATACTAGACGAGTGGTGTGAATCAGGAATAAACCCAACAAAGTAACAGCAGGAGCGTCCTGACACGGCTCCAATGGCTCCAATTTTAGGACGGCTGAAATCAATGCTCAGCATCAAGCTATGTGCTGATGAGGCCGACAAGCCCGGTAGCAGGGTACAGCAGTGCAACCCCGCCCGCAGGCTCTGTGCCTGGCCTCAATTTTTGCAGCTGTGTATCCTCCCTTGGTTCTGTCTGTTATCTAAACTGCTCTTCCTGAACTTCTCTTTAAGCACCTTATTTTAGCCAAACTGATATTGTCACAGATTTAACACTGTGGGCTTAGACATTATAACAGACATCCTTATTTTGTCCTTGCCTTCAGTGGGAATGCTCCAGGTTTTCAAGGCTGGATGTGGGAACAGGAAGCCCAAGTCTAGATAAAGCTGCTCTCCCCAGCAGCAGTAGACAAGGGCAGGAATAGACAAGTGGCAGGGAGGACCCTAACATCTCAAGTAAGTGCTTCTAATCGATGGAACTTATTTTGTACCCAGAACCCTCTCTACCAGGATTTTAGTTCCTCCAGGAAGCAAAGCTTTTGAGGTGAACCTGGTGAGGGGGTATTACTTTTTTTTTTAATTACCTCAGCATTTTCTTTTAACTCAGTCTTCCAACACTGTCGTCAATTCTCTACTTAATTAAATGCCCTCAACCTGAAATCCTTAGTTTGGTTTCTATTTTCCTGACGCATGTATGGGTTTTAAAAACACAGCTGAGGAGCCCTGCGGAGACTGGCTTGTACTTCTCATCTGGAGGAGACAGAATCAGCCTGGTCTGGCTGGGACAGGGGTGAGGGGAGAGGAGTGGCCTATGCTGTCACTGTTGGGCAGGACAACTGTGCCCATTGAGTTTCCTCAAGAGCTTTGCTGGAACCTTCCTGGCTGTCTGCCAGGGTGAGGGGGAGGGACTTTAGTATTAGGAGGTTGTGAACAGACCATCAGCATCAGGGTTGGAGGAGCTGAGGGGTAGTGTGGGCCATATATCACAAGGAGAGAACCAAAGCCAGTTACTGGCATAAATCCTTATTGGGGTCTTCAAAGGCCCCCAGTACAGCCCACAAGAGTGAACAATATCTGACTTACTAGAACAGATGGAAACTAAACAGAAATATATGCCCCCCATCCTGGAAGTGACTTAGGAAGTAAAAGAGTAAGTGAACAAACAGACCATGTTTCCCACCCCACTGAGCTGGAAGGTGGAAACAGTTTTGACTTGGATGAGTTGCTGAAATTTAAGAAGTAGAGAAGAAAAACATATTTTAGATTAGTCTCAGCCATTTCCAACAGAGTACTAATGTGGAAGAGCCTCTGAAGGCAAAATGGGGCTCTGATGGCCTGTGACACTCCCATAAGTCTCATGGTAAGTAGGGTACTTGATTAATCAAAAACACGTCATCTTCTGACCGTGAGAATCAAGAGGCCAAGAGAATCAGATGCAATCGTGAACATCGTTGAGTTCCTGGACCAATGCCAACAGCCACCTACCTTCAGGTGGTATGAGAAGAAACATTTAAGACATTTTTTAGTGGCCTTTTTTTTTTTTTTTTGGTCACAAAGCACAACTGGCAAAATGAGTTCCTCAACCTCCTCATGTGAGCATTTTTTTCTCCACAGTTAAAATTCAAATTCATAGGACAAGTAGGAAGTGTTACCTGGTTAAGATTATTAACTGTTTAGAGCATCCTTAGGGACACAAGGGTCCTGGGATCAAGAGTGAGGTGGACCACCGCTGAAAGTTTGAGTTTCTGCCCAGCACCATACAATTGACCTCTTTTGCCCACCCACACCCACCCAGTATACCTGAAAAAAAAAAAAAAAAATTAAGGTGGGCAGAACCCCAGAGAAGATTAGATTAGTGAGACAGTTAATGCTAACTGATGTTAATACTCTCCAAACTCACTAACCCAACCCAACAGGTTTTTTTTCTTAATTTCAGTAACTTTTAATTATTGTTTAATCCAAGTTTAATCCATGTGAATGTTCTTAGTCAAGCAGCTTTCCTCTAAGCAGTGACTTAAGATATCCAGACTTCCTCTATGCTGACTCCATCACCTTCTAAATTTGTGCTTCAAGGTCATTCTGGAAAGCAGAGGAAGTGGGAGAACATGGAGAAGGCTCATCTGCTCTGTAATTGCCTTGGCCTGGTAGTGAAACATCACTTCTACTTACCTTCCAGGGGTGAGAGCTACTCACCCAGCCTTGCCTTGATGCAAGGCGCTGGGAAATGCAATGTAACTGTGTCGAGGAAAAAGGACATTTTGGTGAGCATATAGTCAGTTTCTTTCACAGATGTTGGTGTGGAGGTCTGCAAGATGAAAATGAGTTCTTCAAGGAAGGAGTTTTAGGAAGCTGGAGCCACATGAATAAAGACCCAGACGTAGAACCTGCTTGAAATGCTAGAGGAATGAAAAGAAAGTCTGTGTGGCTTGAGTTTCCTGAGGAAGGAGTGTGTTAAGAAACAGTGGCGAGGGGGCCTGGGCAAGATCACACAGGGCCTGGGAATGAATTTGTCTTTTGTTTTTAGAGCAATGAGAATCCATTGAAGCGTTTTAAACAGAGGAGTGAAATGTCTGATTTACATTTTTAAAAGATCTCTTGGCTGTGTGGAACGTGAATTGCTTTGCAGGCCAAAGTGGAAGCAATTATACCAGAAATGTGGTTCGTGGTTACTGCAGTGGTTAAATATCTGAGATCCAGGAAGCCAGTCTACGTAGTCACCTGGAAGGACAACCCAAGGATAAAAAAGCTCTAATTATGGACCTCTGTCTGTAAGAAGCTGTAAAGGGCTTTGTACAGTTATGTCAATAGTGAAGAGTTTGGAGCTGAGCAGTCTTTGCCAAGATCATAGTGGTGTTTTTTTTTTTTTTGGAACTGTGCTCCCTTAGGACAGTATTACCGAAAGCTGGAACACACCAGTAACTGCAGAGACAATAAACCTCTAAAAGGGATGCTGAATAAGCATGAGGCATAGATTGCGATCCAGACTCTACTTTGTTCTTGTCTCTCTCTCACCAGCCCTCCTCTCTACCGCCTGCAGTACAGAAAAGCTGCTGGAAGTCTGTGATGTTTCAGCTCATTCTTAGTTCATAATCTTGTGATCCATTTAAGATACACAACCTCATACAACCTCATGTTTAATCCTTTATCACAATAAGTAATCTACATCTGTTGTAGCTTGAAGTCTTCCCCCCTCCCAGCTGTGCCAATTAAGGAGCACAGGGGCAGAGGGATGATCTGTAAGCTCTCTGCTCTTCTCATCTCCACCCGGTAGCTTGCTGATGGTTCTGAGTCGAGTACAGAGAAGTTAAAGGAATAAAATAGTTCTTGCTTCACTGGGTGGTTCTGTGCCCTGTGGGCCTGGCAAATATTTAAAGAGAGAATCCCCGCTGTTCCTTTTTCTGTAGTTGCCTCAACTCAGCTTTATCCTAGGTAGTCTCCCTCCTCAGCTCACAAGGCACACTCCCAGTGTCTTCAAACTATGGTCTCCTTCTTTGCCTAGTCAAATGGTCCTATTGCAGATTTTCCTCTCTCCCCCAACACTTCCCTCTCTCCTATAGAGTACCAAGATACACTGATACATCACCTGCTGGGGCAAATTCTGGAAATCTGTGTCCATGCAAAAGGAGCAGCACCACTGGGTGAGAAAGCCCTGCTTGCCTGACCCAGCTCCAGGGCAAGAGCCAGAGTTCAGCTTATCATTCCTTGGCTGTAGGAACAAATACCTCAGGTTTCTTGAATGGCCCCAGTGCAATCCCCCAAAAGACCTGATCTGGGCCCACTGTAAGGCAGAAATATTCCATCAATGAATAGTCCCAACGCCCCCACCCAAACATGGCCTCAGCCAGCGATTATTTATGAACACAGATCCAGCCCCTTTATCACCTCTCTCCATGGACTGCTCAGAACCTTTCAAGAAACTCTTAAACATCCAATGAAATGAACCTTTTGAAAGGTCTAGCTTGAGCTATCCCCAAATCCTCCTCAGTCAACAAACCCATTTCTTTGCTTTTCTACTTCCAACCCTGCCTAGGGAAGGTCTCTGGAGAACAACAGGTTTTCAACACATGGTTTTCAACAGCCATGGTGAGAGTATATTGATCACCTCCTTGGTCCCCAGGCCTGTGTATAAATTTCCTCAATCAATCCACACAGCAATCCCAGGAGAATGAAATACTAGGAAATCACATTTTCCAAGTGATGAATGTGACATTTAAGTAGAAGGTCAGGCCTTGAACACAGAGCTACCTGATTCCAGAATCTCTACTCTCGGCCATACATGCACAAAGGCCCCAGAGGGCAATGGGTATCAGAAGTGGTTTAGGCCACATAGCTCTAAAGACAAAGCTGGAGGAAGCCCAAACTGACATGTCAAGCCAGGATGCTCGCTGGTGGCTACAGATGCCTCAGAGCCAAGAAGGAACAGCTGCCTGTCTGAGATGGAATCGGACAGTGCAGAAGCTGTGCATGAGGGAACTGGTGTACCATATGGAAGAGCAGAAGCAGAGTGTGCAGTTGCCAGGAAAGAAAACCTGTGAGATTCTAGGGAGATGGAAAGAGATGCCAAACCCAGAGAAGTCTTGATTTCCAATGCATCTTGTTTCCATATCACCCAAGGGGGACCCACAATTCCCATACACCCCGTCTACCCAAAACCAAGAAGCCTTCACTAGATTAAGGCTGAGCCGGGTTTTATCACATTTTGCTCTTGGGTGGTGGAAGTGTTTTCCAGGGTTCTGGCTCACACTTGTTGAGACAGTCCACAGAGTTCCCAGCCTTGGGATTATCACTTGCCTCTCTCTGCAAGAGGCATCCAGAGGTCACCTGCGCTTGTAGAGACATGGCTGAAGCTTCAGGCCTGAGAGTTGAGCCTTGGGCCCTACCCGAGGGGGCCCAGTCTTTTGAAAGTCAAATAAGAAGAAGTGGCTGTTGGTCAGGTCCTAGGGGCAGAAAAGAATGGTGAGTTCAAAGTCCTCATCCCAGCTTCTCAAAATGCCTCCATCCATATCCCGCCCAGTTCAGAAAGCTTCCAGGGCTCTCCTTGAGCTGTGCCTTCCAAGAGTGAGTGCCTGTGCCTGTACCTGTACCTGTACCTACGATCTCCTCCCTGCAAAGAACCACATGAGACAAAAACAGGGACAGACTTCAGGGGCCCTCACCTTGAAGATGACTTTGAAGCCCAGTTTGGTCACAGCCCCCAGAAAGTTCCGAACATCTTCAAAGCGACTGCTGACCTCAGCCACCTTCAGAAGACCCCTGAAGACAGAGAGTTGTGTGTAAATTCACAGACACATGCACGTGGGCATACACGTGTACCTGCTTCAGGGGGCTCCTACCCTGGCTTCAGCACTCGATTTGCCTCCTCGAGGAAGTCCCTGATGTTGGTTCCCATGAGTGAAAGGCAGAATACAGCCACATCCACGGACTCGTCCTCCAGAGGAACCTGTGGAGGGGGGCAGTGTATGAATCACACAGTACAGGTAGAAGAAGGCCAGAACTTAATACAAAGACTGGACACCAGACTGGTGGGTGGGAGGGAATGTCGGTGATTAGCTCATGGAAGTTGGGGCCAGAGCACAGATCAGATACAGAGAAGAACAGAGGGGTTTACCTGAGCCATGTCACACACAGTAACTCTGGGGTCCAGAGAGGCCAAGTCAAAGCAGTGCACGGGATTCCGGATACTCGAAGCGAGGCGGCAGTCCCCACAGCCAAAGTCAGCCACCACCAAGGATGCGGGCCTGGAAGTATGAGGGAGGGATCAGTGTGACCTTTCTGCTCTGAGCCCATGACTGACCTACACTTCTCACAGTCACAGTACCCAACCCCCATTCACCGCTGGCGAAGATCCTTGGCAATGCGGTCTACCGGCTGCAGCGGCCACTTCTTGACTTGGCTCTGGAAGCCACGGTGATAGAGGAGAAAGGCCTCAGGGTCTTCCTGGAAGAGGTGCTGGGCAGCACTGCTGGGCACCGAGTACAGCTGCTCATTGAGGTAGCGGAACCGGGCACCATCCAGCCTCTGTGCCATGCGGGCTCTCAGGGCCCCTGCCCGGGCCTCGCGGCTGTCTGGGCTGGGAGCGGGAGGCACCTCTGTCTCCCCTGTGGGAGCTGTGGCTGGTGCCTGATCTGGTGGCTGAGGTGGCCGGAACTTGTTCTTGTGTCTGCGCTTGTTCTTCTGTCGGTTCCGCCACTGCTTGCGACTCAAGACATGGGGGCGCTCAGGGGAAGTGGTCCCAGGGCTTGACTTGGATGAGTCATTTGTAACACCACTCTTCTCAGCTTTGGGTCCTGCAAGGAGGAAGAAAGGAAGACATAATTAGGGCAAGTCAAAAATTCAAAAGCTGGGCAAGTCATTGCAGCCACATCCCATAGTTGAGGTAGAGACTGTGCCCTGAGCGACACCACTTCTTACTGCCTAACCCCAAACCTAATGGTGGCAGGTAGTTGTATGCAGGCTCAATTGACTCTCCTTCCCACACCCTGCCTCCAATTATAAATACCCATCAACTAGTACCTGTTTGGTTAATGTGTTCCAGGTGCTGGGTCGGGTTTGAAGGGGGCTGCTTCTGGCATTTCCTCCGCCTTTTAGCTTCTGCAGAGTCAGCGCCAAGAAGGGCACCTTTGCGACATTTCTTTTTTTCCACTTTCTGTTCCTCAGAGTCTCTGCCAGGTGGGTCCCGTTTTTGACGTTTCTTCTTATTTTTCTCCTCTACTTCAGTAGAAGCACTAGCAGAAGAAGCCTTTTTCAGACGTTTCCTCTTCCTCTCTACCTTCTCTTCCTCCTCAGAGTCACTGCCAGGCAGGCTAGGGGGTTGCTTGGGAAGAGATGCTGCTTCCAGAGCCCGTAATGTGGCCAAGAGCTGGCGGCGTTTAGAACCCTGAGGAAAAAAAAAAAAACAAGGGATGTGGCCAAAAGTAGGAGAATGGGGCCTGGAGAATAAGAAAGGAGATGGGATCTGGGAGGACTGGGGGTTTGCAGTCCTATTGGATGATCCTGAGCCAGGCACTTTCCTTGGAGTTCTCAGTATCCTTTCTCAGAGAGGTAGTACTGAAAACCCTTCACTACCATTGCCTTCGGTGCTGGCCAATCAGGTCTCCATAGCAATCAATGAGTTTTGCAAAACGCAAATCTCAAGAAATCATTCCCATGCTAAAACCACTTCCCTGGCTTCTATCTCTAAAATAGGCAAAACTCCCAATCTTGCTGAATCAGTTCCCTGACTTCTCTAAATGCAGGGTCCCAATCTACCTCCCCAACTTCAATGGCATTCGTCTCTTGATCCAGCCGCATACACAGGTTATTTTGTGTGTGTACAGTGTGTGTGTGAGTGTGTGTGTGTGTTTTTGACCCGAACGGGACAGCTCTGGCACCTAGAGTCTTTGTGAGTGCTCTTCCGATTAAAAAAAAAAAAAGGCACTTTCCCCACCCCCACCCCCTGGGCCTCTTTCCCTTCACGAACTTCAACTTAACAACTTTCTCTCAATTCCGCCTTCATTTTCTTTTGTTGGTTCTGGATCTTCAGTCGCCCGCCAGTGCCGTCCTCCCCCCAACATACTGATACTCCGGGCACCCCAGTACCCCTGCGAGGATACCCACCTTGGTTCGTGAGGCTGCGGTGGGCCGACTCTCTGAAGATAGAGGCCCGAGGGCCGCGACTACCGGGGCCTCGTCGCCCCACTCCGGCTCCTCAAACATGCGGGTGAGGAGGGTGAGGTCGCGGGGTCCACGCGCCTCTCCACGTGCAAATCGTTTTTCCTGCAATCAGCCTGCAAGTCGCAGCCAAAAAAAAAAAAAAAGCCGAAGACCAAAGAGTGCTAACCAGGAGGCTAGAGCGGCCTGAGCGGCCCTCTCTCAGGACCATCGAGTTTAAACACTGGTTGGCTAGAAGAGCAGGGAGGAGGGAGGGAGGAGCGGAGGAGGCCCGCGCTGGCCCGAGAGGGCCAGGGGCGGGGCCGGCGGCGGGCGCGGCCGGACGGGTGTTCCCTGGAGAAAACGCCTGCAGCCCGAATCCCGGTGAGTGCTGGAGCACCCGTGCTCCTCCCCAAAGCCGCGCCCTGCCAACCCGTCACCCCTCGTCTGAGTTCCGGGTAGGGAACGAGCCCCCTCCTCCCGCGCGAAGGACCCCCATCACCTCCTTTAAGCTGTAGAACTTTCCCCTCCCCCCGGCTCTGTTCTCGGGTAGGGACTCCTGGCTCGCGCCCTGACATTCCTTCGGGAGTGCACCCTCTCCCAGAGGCGCCTTTCCCGCGCGCCCGGGGGACTCAATCGGGGATCTCACGGCTGCCCGGAATTCCTCCCTAGATCTCTACTAGCGGGGCCACGGCTTCCAGACTCCCACCCCCTGCAGAAACATTCTCGGCTGTCGGGGCAAAACTTGGGTCTCTTCTCTCTTCCCTGGATCCCGCCACAGTACCCAGGCTTCCTCAATCTGGGGGCCTCAGTGCCGGGGCGCTGCTATGGACGACATTTTCACTCAGTGCCGGGAGGGCAACGCAGTTGCGGTTCGCCTGTGGCTGGACAACACCGAGAACGACCTCAACCAGGGGTGAGCTGAGCTGGCGGCCGGGGTAGAAGGGCGAAGACGCGTTCCTCTGCTCTGTGCAGCGCTCACGTCTGCCCCGGTGGCAAACGCCTGTCGGGGTGATGAGTGCAGCGCACAGCCTGTGGGGTGCAGAGGGGTCTCCACAGTGGAAGCTGTTTGAGCTAAATCTTCATTGCTGAATAAGATTCCCTGCAGACAGAGGCTGCAAGGAACTTTCTAGCCTCAGGCAAAGGCGAGTAGCCCAGCTATGCAGTGGAGAATGCCTGGAAATTGTCCAGAGTTCCATATGGCTTGAAGGTAGAGGAGACCCAGCTGCTTTTGTAGACTGAAATACTGGTGCCAAGTGAAGAAAGCAAGTACTAAAACTGGAAAGGTCTGCAAGGATCAGCCAGGTCATGCAGGCGTGTTTAAGCAATAATGTGAAAGAACAAGGGTGTCAAGTCAGGAGAATGTCCACATCAAGTGTCTTCTCCTTGTCAAGTGCTTTGTGAAGAACAGGTGATGATGTGAAGAGTGGCAGTTGCTAAGTCTATCCCAGAGGTGATGGCTTGGAGTAGAACCGAGGCAGGTGAAAAAGAAGTGATCAGAATCCAGAAATTTGGGGATGAAGGAAGACTTGCTGAGGGAAGTGAGGAAGGCCAGGTTCTAGCTTGGGCACTTGTTCTTACTTCCTTTTACTGAGATGGACAAGTCAGATGATGAGTACCAATTTGGACACAAAAGTGACAACACAGTGTGATGGAAATGTTGAGATAGTTGGTTTTGCAGGACTGGACTTCAGGAGAGACTTGGAGATAGTAGTTTATAGATGGTACTTGGTGGTGGAAATGTTGAGTGCCTCAGCAGAGGGGATGACAAAGGGCAGGGGACAAGATAAAAGGAGCAAGTGGAGGTTGAGGGAGAAAAGGGAAAATACATTGTAAAGCACAGAAAAGTGAGCTTTTCCAGGAAGGGGATAGATCAACAGTATGGTAGGCAGGTGAGAGAGAGAACAAAGAATTCTCAAGCACTTTACCTACTGAATTTCAATGAACTGTTCACCAGATTTCTGTGAGGGCTGTTTCAAAGGAAAACAAATGAAGAAACTGAACCACACTGGGCTCTTTCATTTAAGGAACTATATTGAACACTTCCTGTGCTGGGCACCATAAGATTCAGACAGCATGCCTGCGCTTCAGGCAAACAACTTGTGGCAGATTGAATGGATAGTGAGGAAACAGAGAAAATGACCATGGACTAGTTGTTTTAAGGTTGGCTGAGAAAGGAAGGCAAGAAACGCAGTAGTGATGCTGAATTAAGGTGATAGATTTTAACTTCAAATTTCTTTTTAAGGTTGGGAGAGTTTAGTAGTTAGGCTTAAGAAAAGGATCCCCTGTCCTCTTGGTCCAGACTTTGCTGTTCCCATTAGGCTCTACACTATTGCTGTTTCATAATTTGCAGTTATCTGTTAAATTCTTTATTCTTCAAAACATGCTCTGATAAAGGCAGTGAGCAGTGTTAGTATTGTCAGTGGGGCCATACAGGCCTAGGTGAAGTTGTCTCTTGGGCTTCGAATCTAGGAAGACTTCACTATCAAAAGGTAAAGAAGGGGTGGCAGTAGTGAAACTGCAAAACTTTGGTCTTTTTGAGGGAATAGCTTTTGGGGGCCTAGCGTGCCAAATGGGGGTCTACAGGCTGAATATGAAGTGGGGGTGAATTCTCTGCAGGCTTCTTTGGGATAAGTCCAAGCCCTTAGGCCTCCAGGAGGCAGGCTGACAGCCCGCTTCTAAAAGGCTGGGGACCAACTTTTGCCCTTAAGCTCTGGGGCAACATACTGTGATACTGGGAAGTTAGAGATGGGAGGCAAAACTGACTGAAAAGTAGAGGGGGATACCCACCTTTCTAGAAAGTGTTTGACTATATCTGTGTGAGCAGATGAGGGCAGCAGCTGAGGGAAATCATTAGGAAAGGCCACGCCCCCACAGTAATTTGCTGGGTGGGGGGGGATCTGGGTGGCTTGCTTAGGCCAGACCCTTGATTAGTTCCAGGCCCCGCCTAGAGCCCCCACACGGGAAGTGACCACAGCACTAAGGCATCCGGAGGCTCCTAACAGAGACTAAGGACCGCCCATTGCTCCACCCCTCAGATCTGCAGTTTTAGACTGGAGGGAATTTCCTTTTATGGCCCCAGGCTGTCTGGCAGGCCCAGCTCCCCCCACAATTGTTTGGGGGTTTGTACACTTCTTTTACTTTACAAAATGGAAAAGAAACATAAGTAGTTTCACCTGCCCCCACCCAAAAGAAGCCATTCCCATTTTTTCTTCTCTGTGCCCAGAATTTTTTCAGTAGAGGAATTCTGTTTTATGTGGTGCTTTGTTAATCTGCCTCATCAGTAGTGACTTACCAAGAGCATTTCTCCATTTCATTATAAACTTTTCCAAACATTTTAATTCCATTCCATTGTTAGTCTATTAGAGCCAAACAATAGCTTATTTTTCTCTCCCATGAGTTGTGACCTTCCTTCTCCAACATACCAACACCCCCCCAACATTTACTTAACACCTGTCAGTTTATTCTCTCAAAAAGCTTACAGTCTAATACAGTACAACCCAGTAACAGATTTTTACAATCCAGAGCGACAAGTACTATAGTAGGGTGTATAACGTGCTGAAGAAAACAGGACAGGTGCGACAAAAGGGGCACAAGGGAGACCAGATGCTACCATTTAACAAGAAGGTATGGCAGGGAAGAAAGGCTGGTGGGAGATGGTGGTAAAGACCTGAATGCTGTGGACTTGAATTTCACGTGGTGGTGGTGGTTAGTTGGGTATGAAGCTGAGGGGTAGGTCTGATGTGGACAGCTTTGGGAGTTGCTGGCCTGGGTGAGACTGTCAGCTTTCCTTCTATCAAAGCCCCATCAATGACCATTACCCTTTTCTCAAAGGGATGATCATGGCTTCTCCCCCTTGCACTGGGCTTGCCGAGAGGGCCGCTCTGCTGTGGTTGAAATGCTGATCATGCGGGGAGCGCGAATCAATGTGATGAACCGTGGGGATGACACTCCCCTGCACCTGGCAGCCAGTCATGGACATCGGGATATTGTACAGAAGGTATGTGACCCCTCCCCCACCATGTGCATGCCTCAAGGTGAGGCATAACATGCTGTAGAGTAGGTGCTCTTCTCCCTCCTAACGTGCCCCAACCCCTCTACCTCTTTCTTCTTGTTTGGCCATGGGAACCAGCTGCTGCAGTACAAAGCTGACATCAATGCAGTGAATGAACATGGGAATGTGCCCTTACATTATGCCTGCTTTTGGGGCCAAGATCAAGTAGCAGAGGTGAGTACTTGGGCTTGGAACTTACTCGGGTGGGTGAGCAGCAGCCTGAGCCTTCGGTACTGAGCTACGACCCTCCTAGCACTGTACTCTGCATTCACTGTTGACTGTGAATGCCACGGGAGTAAGAAGGGCCCTCATTACAACTACTTTTTCACTCCAGGACCTGGTGGCTAGTGGGGCACTTGTTAGCATTTGTAACAAGTATGGAGAGATGCCTGTGGACAAAGCCAAGGCACCCCTGCGAGAACTTCTCCGAGGTCTGTGCCCCAACTCCAGCTTTTGTCTAATTACTCTCCTCTCCCCACTTCCTAACACATTGCTTAGAGGCACAACTATTTGTTTTTCTTCCCTAGAGCGGGCAGAGAAGATGGGCCAGAATCTCAGCCGTATTCCTTACAAGGACACGTTCTGGAAGGGGACCACCCGCACTCGGCCCCGTGAGTCAGTCATGAGAGGGTGGTAATAGGGGATAACCCTGGGGCTGGGTTAGGGGAAGCTGAGTTCCTGACCTGCTCACTCTCAGGAAATGGGACTCTGAACAAACATTCCGGCATTGACTACAAACAGATCAACTTCGTGATGAAGGTCAACGAGAATCACTCTGGAGAGGTGACCCCTACCTTTCATGGCCTTACCTCCCCACACCCCCATAAATTACCTGCTGTGCACATGTTTTAAGTTTCCTCTCCAGTTAGTGGGCAAGAAAGCCGTGATCTTAGTTAAAAGCCTAACCCTTACCTTTCCTCAGCTATGGAAGGGCCGCTGGCAAGGCAATGATATCATTGCAAAGGTGCTGAAGGTTCGAGACTGGAGTACAAGGAAGAGCAGGGACTTCAACGAGGAATGTCCCCGACTCAGGTGGGGCAAGGCCTAAAGTGGAAGCTGTTGTTTCCAAGGAACCCTGACTAGCACCCATATCTTTTATGCTGAGTCAGCCAGGGATACTGTCTCCCCTACCCAGGATTTTCTCGCATCCGAATGTGCTCCCAGTGCTAGGTGCCTGCCAGTCTCCACCTGCTCCTCACCCGGTCCTCATCACACACTGGATGCCATATGGATCCCTGTACAATGTACTACATGAAGGCACCAGTGAGTAGGGGATACCAGATTTCACTGGGCTAGGCCTAGGGGGATTGATGGGAAGGTCACATACGACTTTGTCTCCTCTTAGGTTTTGTTGTTGACCAGAGCCAGGCTGTGAAGTTTGCATTGGACATGGCAAGGGGCATGGCCTTTCTACACACTCTAGAGCCCCTCATCCCACGACATGCACTCAACAGCCGTAGTGTAATGGTGAGATCACATCACTTCTCGCCCAGATCCTTGGAAACCTTAACTAGAACAGGACTTACCTCCTTACACTTATCTATCTTCTCTTTCTCAGATTGATGAGGACATGACTGCCCGAATCAGCATGGCTGACGTCAAGTTCTCCTTCCAGTGCCCTGGACGCATGTATGCACCTGCCTGGGTGGCCCCTGAAGGTAAGTAAGGGCATCGTGTTGGGAGGTAGAGAAAGGCCAGCTCAATAGTAATGGAAGAGACAAGATAGGCGGCAGGAATAAGTAAGTCCCATCCCTCCAGCTCTGCAGAAGAAGCCTGAAGACACAAACAGACGCTCAGCAGACATGTGGAGTTTTGCAGTGCTTCTGTGGGAGCTAGTGACGAGGGAGGTACCCTTTGCCGACCTCTCCAACATGGAGATTGGAATGAAGGTGAGAGCACAGCTTACACTGTTGTGAGGAATGGTGATGGCGGTGACAACTGTAGTGGGACTAAGCTTATGCCACATCTGTTTAAAGACATAGTAATCCTGTCCTCTCCCAACATGAGACCACCTTGTTTTTTCCTTCTGTTTACAGGTGGCACTGGAAGGCCTCCGGCCTACTATTCCACCAGGCATTTCCCCCCACGTGTGTAAACTCATGAAGATCTGCATGAATGAAGACCCTGCTAAGCGACCCAAGTTTGATATGATTGTGCCTATCCTGGAGAAGATGCAGGACAAGTAGTGCTGAAAGGTCCTGTGTAAACTCCAGAGGTGTCAGGACAGTTAGGGGAGGATGCCTCCCCAAAGTAGCAAGCCTCTGGTTGCCTCCCCTGCCTCCAGTCATGGTACTACCCCAGCAATGGGGCCCAATCCCTGCCCCCATCCCTACCACTGTGGCCCCAAAAGGGGCTGGGCTCAGAGCTTTGTCACTTGCCACACGGTGTCTCCCAGCATGGGAGAGATCAGCCCTGCCTGTCACAATAAAGTTTATTATGAAAACAGGCTGGTGTGGGGACAAGGGGACGGACAAGTACATTTAGGTTGGGTGGCTCAGGTGAAGTAGTGCGGCTTCTTCACATTGATGCCATACTCGCTGAGGGCAGGGGTCAAGTCCTCCATGGTTAGAGTATACTTGCGGTCCTGAGGGAAGAGGGAAGACTGGCTGAGCACAGGAATTCCAGACTTCAATCCCAGCTGGGTGACCCTGAGTAGATCTTTCACCTCCCCTAAGACTCAAGTTTCCCCAAAGGGGTTTCAGGATAAATTAAGCCTCCACTGATGTGGGAAGTAACTACTGACTCAATGAGCCTCCCTTCACACCTTGCTTTTGCTTCGGGAGCTGCCAGAGGCTGTGCCCTTCATTTTGCAGTGCTGTAGGGCATCGTTGGCAATATCTGAGATGAATTTCTGGGCAGCTAGAGAGATGAGCCGAATTCTAGAGAGAAAAAACTGTTATGAGAGAGAGATGGACAACAAACTCAATACAAGTACCCAAAACTAACCTAACCAGAGTTTACTCACATGCGTGGGTCAGAGGCCTCGAAGCCAGCACGGTTCAGGTAGTAGCCAGTCACTGCATCTGGGATCTAAGAAACCAAGTAGACAGCTGTCAGGGTGAGCCCTGTGCACCACTGAGCTAATAGTGTAGGGGAATGGAGTACAGGCCTGGCTATCATGAAGCTCAGTTTGCGGGGTCAGAGGGACTAAATCACAAGAGCTGGCAGGGGAGTAATACAAAGAGGAAGCTGGAAATCCGAGTGTGTTGGTGTGACAGCACGCCAATGCCCTGTTCAGGCGGAAGCCCACCGTAGGCGTGTAATCCTCCAGCTGCATCAGGAAGTCCACCAGAGGCGTGCTGGACACGACCGGCTTCACGTCTCCGTTGGCCGCGCTTGGCAATACGTAAACCCCGTTAGACATGGCCCCCTCTGGGGGCGCCACGCCGCCCGCCGACACGGGAGCTGGAGGAGAAAACAGCTAACTGAGGCACGGCAGTGGGAGGAACAGGGCCCCAACTGAGTCCCTCTCGATCCCTCTGCCCCCCCACCCGCCGCTGGGCCCAGGCCCGAGGAGCTGCCCTCACCCTCACCCGTCCCGGCCCTC